GCTGGAATGATTCTCTCTGCTCGAAACCGTTTTCATAGTTTTGCATGTTCCTGTACAATCGCTTCCTGTAATAATTTTGGTTCTACTTTGGTTTTACCGTTGAGTTCGTTCAAAATGAGTTGAATTTCCTGGTTGGGTTAAGTCTCGATCTTGTTATGATGCATTTCTTAACTCGAATTGGTAACAAACAGATACAAATGCTGGCTGAATCATATTTATAGGTTATCGAATCATTTGTTATGGGTTAACTTATGAAAGATTTTTTGTTTTGCTTTGATCATCAGAACAGAACAAGCGAGGTCAATAAGTAAAGTTGGCTTAGCTGGTGAACAGAGAGGTTTTGGTCTGTGGTTTGGAGAAGAAGCCATGAGCCTTCAAAGTGTATCAAAGTCAAGCAACGCCCTTGAAGGTATCTATGGGGTTCATGTCGTGTCTCATTCACCTTTCTCATACGACCGGACAACCCAAGTCGGTGACTTTCAGACCAACTGTGAATCCTCAGACATGGGATCAAATCAGCGACTGTTCATCGAGTAGGTTACTTGACATTTGGTTGTGACCTTACCACATTGCTCATTTGATATTATTCCGCACTTGGTTTCTCTTATACAGACGTGTTTGGCAACAACGACCTCCATGCCTAAGGCCAATCCATTGCAGCATCCGCGGTATGGACACTTCCGTCTTTTTGTCGGTCTTTATATTTCCACTCTCCAGATGGTTAATCAGTCTATTGTTATGCAATCGCTCATATGAAAGGTGACCAAAGTTTCTTAGAAACAGCTGCTAATGTCGCTACTTCGCTTCCTTTCATTGTCCTCGGGATGCAGGCACCAAGGTATATGTTCTCTTTTTGCGAAAATCATTTGATATTTGACCGGACTTGGTTTCTCTGAAAAGACAGAGAGATTGAACAGCTATGCCATAATATAGGAAGAATTTGAACACAAAAGTGTACGCAAACTCCCTAATTGGAGTTGGAATCGCATCGAGTTTGTATCATGCCTCTAGGGGAAAGTTGAGGAAGTACCTGAGATGGCTAGATTACACAATGATAGCCACAACAACAATCGTAAGTTCCACTCTTTTAACCCATCTCTAAACTCTTCTTCAGCCAATTGAACCAGTTCGTTTCGGTTGGGGTTTGCACAGTGTCTCTCAAGGGCTCTAAGGAATGAGAACCCAAAGTTATTGATGGCTGCATCAGCTTTAGCTCTGCCGTTTCAGCCTCTCATGGTCTCTGCTGTTCACACCGGAATGATGGAGGTACTAAAGATCAACACACTCCTTGTACATAAATCAGCCGAGTGGATATAATATAACTTAAGGAAAATTTTGACTCAGGTCGCATTTGCTAAAAGAAGCTTAATGGATCCCGATCTCAAAACAGCTCATAACGTGCACAAGATGTCTTCGTTACTAGGAGGCGCCTTGTTCATAGCTGATGATTTCTTCCCCGAGACACCTTTCCTTCATGCCGGCTGGCACCTCGCTGCAGCCATTGGGGTCGGAACATGTAATAAGCTTCTTGAGTAGATAAGAGTTCCAAAATTGTTATGGAATTTCTCTATTCTTGGAACAATGAAACCAATGGTTTCTCTGTGACTCCTAATCAGCCGACATAACTAAGATGCATTGTAGTCAGTAGTATCTTTGTAAGAACTAGATGGTATTGCATGATCATGTAAGAAAATTATGAAATTATTGGAATAGAAAACTTGTTGCCAACATTGAGAATAACAATCTGAACAATCATACAATTGATCCAAAAGTCGAAACCAATAGACAATTGCAGGCAATCATCAATTCAGAAATTCCCAGAAACAGAACTTTT